AGGTATGTAGTGGTTTATTATATCATTATGATGGTGGTTTTAGTCAAGAACTCAAGCCCACCATTATTAGACTCATTCTCTGTTTTGTTATTCTAAGTTGTGGCTGAGTTATTTGGCAATCAGGTATGAATAATGATTTCATCTTAGGTACCCTTTTTGAAGATGCATTTGTTTCACTTGCATGATTTCATTGAACATGATGCTTCATTATTTATGTAAGCTTCACATATCGCATAGTCTTCATTGGATATGCTCTTTTCTAGGTGTTGTTTGTTTTGCTTAAAAATAATGTAATGTAAAATGAATGCCATGCAGAAGTAAATATATTATATTTGGAATACTTTTGGGTTGTTGGTTCACTGTAAAATAAACATATGACTTTATATATATATTTTTTGTTTGGTTTCGAGTAGAATAAAAATAATTTATTTCAAAATATTTGAGATATTGTGTAAATTATTGGAGGCATTGTGGGTGGGCAGAGATGGCTTACGACAATGGTGGGTGGTTGTGGCTGCAGCGGGTGGTGGTGTCAGCCGCAGGCAGTGGCAGCAAATAGAGGTGGTAGTGGTAGCGGCGGCAGGCAGGCAGAGGCGGTTGGCGGCGGCTGGTAGAGGTGGGAGGTGGCAATCGGGGGTCGCAGGCGATGGATTCGGTGGAGACCGGCGACAGTGGCCGACGGCAACATTATACGTAGAGCGTGTATATGAAATTTGGCAAAATCCATTAAATTCCAAATAAATAGAAATTGAACTAAGAAATAAATTCTAAATTCATTCATATTTTACACAGGATTTATAATTCTTATTATGACCAAATGCCTAAAATCTTAAAATCTTGCAAAAGGAATGCTACCAACCCAACAATACCTAAACTAAATATTTGCTTTGTATGAAATCGTGGATCTATTGTGATCATGTTACAGTTTGTTTGGGGCAGCTTCAGTTTATTGAATAATCTGCTGATAAGCTGACTAAAAATAATCTGCTGATATGTTAAGTGCGGTAGTTATTACAAATTTTTATTTTTTTTGGAAAAGCCAGACCGCTGTCAGAAAGCTGCCACCGCACATATACCAGCGTTTTGAAAATGCATAAGCTGCCAAAACGCAGTTTATCCAAACAGCTCAGGTGCGTTTTCAAAATGTCACAGCACCAAATAAACTGATCCAGACGGATTATTAGTTTCAAATTCAATTTATCACTCCCACATAAAAATATTTAGCCTTATAAATATCACCTCATCGGCAGTTAGTTCAAATTGTCACTTTGCTGTTGACTGGGCTTTCATGAAATTTTAACTAGTGTTAGTAAGAACGTATGATGTATGATTATATACATTCTTTGAAATCATGTTTATAAAATAAAGTCAACTAACAAGTTCGTCAAAATTCGTATCTATTTTCATTGTGAAATCATGATTTGACTTTTTTAAAATCACGTACTACAATATGGTATTTTCTTCCTAATGCTTAGTTAGCGTTGACTTATTATAATATGTTTTGAAGATTATTATTATTATTATTATTATTATTATAGTATGCTTAGTTAGCGTTGACTTATTATAATATGCTTAGTTAGCGTTGCCAACCACGGTATAAGGCCCCTCGGGCCTTGGGTTCAAATCCCCTCTGTCACGGTTGGTCTTAAGGAGATGGTACTCGAATTATTAGACATATTAGGGATGACTGGAGGCTCGTGTGTGCGTGTCTATGCATGTATATATCTCGTACGAGATTTTCAATTTCTTAATGATTCGTAGCTGTAGCAGGATCAAATCAAATGCAACTCCAAAAGATAAAATAGTGAACAGAGACGTGCATGGACTGGCATCCAATTATTTGAATTTAATAAAATTCATTTCATTTTCTGAACCTGTTAGGCCATAATGTCTAGCAAAATTTTCTAAATGGCACCATGACTTTTTATTCAAGATAAAATTTTAATTCTTGAGACGTTTTTTTAAAGACTGTCCACCCGAAACTTGCTATTTACAAATCAACCACATTCTTTCATCCTTTTTGCAAATTCTGAGTCAAATATCAAAATTCATGGTAAAATCCCAGCCCATGTTTTCATTTTTTACGAGTTCTCAATAGTTTGATGGTGGCACGGGTAAATAAAGCGGCTTGGTAGTTCGAAGAAATCACCCCCAATGCTTAATTTGTAAATGTCAATGTTTCGGATGGTCTGCCTGTAATTACTCTTTTTTTTTTTTTTAATGTAATGGATAGAGTTATGTAAAAAAGTTGAAGTTAGACGAGGGAATTATTCAACAGTGGCATCATATTCTTGGTTGTATATGTAATATGTCATTAAAAGATTGGGTCTTCTTGGTCAAATTAGAAATTTTGATTTTTTAACTGAGTAATAAATTTTGCACGATTAGCTATTTTTGAGTAATTACAGTCCTAAGTTTCTTATTTTGAAATTTTCATGCTTATTTTAGTGATCTCTCTATCTTCCGCTCTGGTAATCGTTTTGAGTCTGTTTGGGACAGCTGCAGCTTATTGAATAATTTGCTGATAAGCTAATTAAAAATAACCTGTTGATAGGCTAGGTGCGGTGGCCATTACAATTTTTAATTTTTTTGGAAAAGCCAGAGCGCTGCCAGAAAGCTGTCACGACACCTAGATAAGTGCGGTGTGAAAAAACTGTTTTCAACATTTTGAAAACGCATAAGCTGCCAAAACGCAATTTACCCAAACAGGTCAGGTGCGTTTTCAAAATGCCACGACACAAAATAAGCTGCCCCAAACGGAAAATATTAATCGCAGATACTTCGTACATGCAAATAGGGTGTACCTGGGATTTACAGTCCAAATCCATATGTACATATAATATTATCTCGCTCCACCTTTTGTTGTTTCTCGGCCATAATAGACGTATCATTAAATTGGCTTCATATTCACTTGGACGAAAGTAAAAGTGAACAGCTCAATTCATGAAAACTCTCTCAGAGAAGATCAGAAGCTCCTAACCAACTCAAAAGAAGAGGTCCCAAGTCCAATAGAGAAGCCAAACAACAGCAGAAATCCAAAGGAAGATAAGGTACAAAACTTGGCAGTAGATGCTTCCTAGATTATATAGAAACTCTCTGAAACATAATGATTGTCTTTATCACCTACTGACATATCCAATAAAAAATTTAAAATACAATCAATTTGCTTAATTGAATCGTTGTTAATGGTCTCTGGATTATGTTCATCATAATCTTCATCGTTTATATAATCCTCAATATAATTATTAACTTATTTGCACTCAAGATTAATGCCAATATAAGCTTCTTATTGATTCAATATCATCAATAAGAAGTCATAGTTCAAATTATTTATTTATTCCACGAGTCACATAAATTACATTTATAGATTTAATTCTACTTATTAGTTTTATCTTATTTGATTTAATATAAATTAGATTTCACTAATGATATCCTACTTGGGGATAAGACTAGAAAGAGAGTTTATGAAAAACTTGAATTATGGAGGTCAAATTCAGAGTGTAAATGCTTTTATTTGAGTAGATCAGAAACTAAATACATGGAATATAATTTCATTAGTAGTGGATCTACTGAAGGGGCTATAACAATGGGTGATCGTCATTAAAAGAAGTGAACATTTTAGATATCTAGGGTATAACGTCCAAGTTATGGTGATATATATGTGGGTGTTGTTAGTAGAATTCAAGCTGGATGTTTGAAGCAATGAAGGCATCGAGCCTATTGTGTGACAGAAAAGTATCGCTTAAACTTAAAATAAAATTTTAGAAGATGGCGGCGAGACCTACAATGCTTTATGGTGCATAATATTGGCCTGTAAAAGAGAAGCATAAAATCAAGTTAAGTGTTGTTAAGATGAGAATGCTCATGCTCGGGTGTATGAGTGGCTTTATAGTAAGAAAAAATGCGAAATGAATATATGAGCAAGATTAGATAGAGTCGTCTTAGATGGTTTTCGGTCAAATTAAATATCGACCGTCTGATGACTCGGCATGAGAGTATATGAATTAGATTTAACTTATATTAAGAAAGACAGAGGTAGACTTAAAAAGAATTAGACATGTGTAAAAATGATCTTAATTCATTAAAATTAAATGAAAGTTTAACACTCAATAGGGCACAATGGAGAAAAATGATTCATGTAGCCGACCCCACTTAGTGAAATAAAAGCTTCTTGTCGGTCATCTATATATTCATTTCTGTGTATATTTAATTTATAGAGTTTATAAAATTTTTAATAATTGGAGCTTTAGAATTAATATGAATCGAATTTAAACATCATGTTAATGAATATTTTTCAACACAAATAAATTTTTAATTGTCAACTGGCTCAAATTTAGCTGCTCTGTAAATTTTTTTATCAAGTCTTCTGCAGTAGTTAAAATATTCTATCTGTTTAACCCACTTGGATACTGCAGGATATGGTTTTGTCTTTGCATTGACAACCTTGATTTGAGGTCGTCAATGCAAAAAAAACAATTCTTTTTGTAAGAAAATATTCTCAGTAAAAAAATTTATTCTGCAGCAGCTCGAGATCTTTCGATGCGGGAGAAAATGTCCAATCATCTGACTACCCATTCATCCACGAGTTTTATAGATAATTTTATCTACAAGAAAATTATTATTTATTTATTTATTTAATATTTATAACACTTGCATCTGTGTAAATAAAATTATTTTCCACATTAAAGCTATAATTATTTAGAAAAAAAATTGCAACCACTATAAACAAATGCTATGTTTCCATACAATGAGATTAGAACAAATAATTTGGAGCATAATTTGTGTTGGAATTAAAGATCATAGCATTCTTATCTTAGAGATATATATTATTAGGTCAGCAGACAGTAATAAAAAATACATTTTAATAAATGTATATTTAATTTTGAAATTATATAAATGATAAATATTTACACTACATCCATCTCAAAATAGAACAAAATTTTAAATTGAATGTAATTGAGGCCCATTTGGGGCAGCTTTTTTATCATGGTGCGGTGGGAAGACGCCAGTGTAGTTGTTTGAAAACTGGGGTGAGGTAGCGTTTTGGGAAAAGTCGAGTTATACGCAGGTTGCAGTTTCGATCCCACGACCTGCAGCTTTGACTTTGTGGCCCTTGTTTCTTCGCGGACCTAAGTAAAAAAAAATTATGATGGGTCAGTCTGGTTTGAGAAGCATAGAGACATGCAAATAATGCAGTTATATATCCATAAGCATGGATACCCTATTATTTATGATTTGGGTGAAGGTCGTGCTATGCAACCCATTTTAAAACAGACCCGAAGGACATGCATGAGAATAAAAAAGCAGGTTTTGAAAAATCCTGATAATTTTAATCCTAAATTTTAGATTATCTCAATTTTTTATGATTATGATTTTCTTATAGAAAAATTTATATTTTTGAGGTTCTAAAGAGCCTAAATTGTATCTTTCACATCATCTCAGATAATCCAGAAAGAAACAAGGAAACAATCCAAGCATGCAAAAGTGCAAAAAAAATGAAGAAAAGAAGCTAAATATAAAATAATAAAAGGCATGTGTTGTTAGGTCGACGACATATCCCGAAAATGAAAAACGTAGTCAAGCTCTACATAAGTAGGTATGAGACACAAACAAGCAACTTCCGGTTCACATCATGTGGTTCCGTTCGCTTGACACCTTGGAACTCATGTCCATACATTATTTCTAATATAAAAATCACCTAGGACTCTAAAAGTACATAGAGAAAAGGGAAAAATGACTCGATATGCATGATACCAATGTTAGCGGGAAATGAAACAAACATGCAATGTATAATAAGTCGTGTTTTTTTTTTTTTATTGAGTGAGCTAAATGGCCCCTGCTAGCAAAATGTTAGTAGAAATCATCACTTACTCTTTCTTCAATGGTACCAGTGTGTGTGCATATGTATATGCACTACTCTCTGTAGACGAACACCCTAATATACTACCATGCATGTCAAGCATATAAGTACACCAAAAGCACAAAAGTGACGCTTTGCTAGAATAATCAATCCAACAGAGATCAATAGTCAGAGGAGTAAAAAATACTACATAGCACCATATTCATAGCTTAGCACACCATCTAACCAAAAATTGTTCTAACCAAATCTTAGTGCTCAAAGTAAGTCTCTGAATATGTATGATTTTGACGGGGCCGCCACATCGACCCTGTTCTAAAGATAAAAGGATTTAAAGGGTGTCACCCATGATGAATTTTAAAAAAAATTGACTTTACATATGATCTAGCTTGCTACAGATATAATTTTAAAATTATAGCCGATGTAATAAATAACAATATTATTACAGCTCACACAACTCTCATCTCGAGCCTTTATGGCATATGGATGTTATTACAAGTCACCACTACAGCCCGTGTGATCCATAAGTTCATATGTCTCTCAACCCTGACTTATATAGTTTACAAAAGTTCTCGCAGCTCCCCACTACAGCTTATTTGACCAACTATAACCTATGCAATGCACAACTCTTATAACTCCCTACTACAGCCACTGTATCCAATAGACGCTCATGAAGTATCTATCTATGACCTACATGTTTAACTATTATCACAACTTTCAACTACGACGAGCTAACACAATAGCTATTGTCTATAACATTTATGACAGTAAACTGCCTTCATAGCAATCGACTATGTCATTTGTGGCTCGTTACAATTGTTATTGTCAAACAACTATTGCACATCAATATCATTATTTCATATTCTCTAATTCAAGATAAAAGTAGAATTTTGTACTTGCAATTATATATTAAATTATTTTAGCTAGACTAAACCCCATGGTTTTTTCTCCTTCTAAGGTTTTCCTCATGAAAAATTGAGGCATGTCATCCTACTTACATATTTTTTATTCATGTGTGTGTTGGATCTTCGTCTAATGCTAAGACGCTAATCTATTACTCTATCACATGAATCTTCACACACACACACTATAATTATAATCTTAAAGACAATTTTTATTTACAAACCATAAATTGAGTACTCACCCCTTTTAAGTAATTTACAATGCAGCACTAAAATCATAATTGCTGTTTTTTTTTTTTTAAATTATTTCCTCGATTAAAAATGGAAAAAAATGACAACATGGGTAATGGAGGCCTAAAGTTCATCACCACGCCTTACCCAAATCCACCAGCTTCCTCGATCGATTCATCCCTAGACCAGAGGACGCTTCAGGAAAAGCTACTCCAACCCCGCTCCACTTTCGATTCAACGATCCATGGACATCGCCGGCGATTACCGTATCCGACGGACCATGATTCCGGCGATTACCGGGGCTCGGCCTCAACATAGGGCTCAGGCACACAACGTAGCTCGAAAACCTGTTGGGACTCTGTTGCCGTTGAGCTTTCTGCCTCAACGGCGACGGCGCCGAGATGCGACGTCTATCTCCTTCCCTCTCTTCCTTCATCGCCGGCGACATTCCCCTTCCGTTCACGGGCTGCAAGTGCGGCTTCCTAGACCTTCCGCGGCTGTCATATTCCTCTGCCGGCGAGATGCCCTGCAATTTCTTTCTATTCTTACTCCACTGTTTCATAATTAGGGACAGGAACCCAGAATGAGAAATCGAGGGTTTGAGGACGATGGCATCGGATTCCGTCTTCTTGGGTGTCTGTTTTACCCTAATCGGAGAGAAAAGAGAAAGCTTATGGGCGCGGCGTTTCTGATCATCGGAGACATTAGGCGAATCGGTATGAGAACTGAGAATCTCCGGTGATCGCCTGCCTTCCTGTTCTGCTTCAGCGGCGGCGAGGGAGGAGAGGCGATCGCGAAGGCAGCGGGGACAAACGCCGCCGCTGTGATCGGATGAGTGCTCTCTGCACCTCATGGCTTCCTTCCTTCCTTTCTTGAAAAAAAGAAATTGAAATTGATCTCTGGAGAGAAGAAGGGATTGCAAAATTAGGGTTTTGGTGCAGCGATTGTGAAAAAGGTGAGCTTTTAATTTATACTGGGGAGGTTGAGGAGCGGTTCGTTCATTCTGTTATAGTTGATATAATGACATTGGTGGGGGCGCGTATGGAGTGGTTGGGAGATCCCGCCATTGGCCCGCGTTTTGACTTGGGAAGTTTATTAATAGAATTTCTGTAACCACGTTTTGATGAAATGCTGAAATAGATATATTGAGTTGATATTTGATAGATTAATGATACATTATACATATATATATATATATATATATATATATATATATATAAAGTTTAGGCCGGCAAATGAGTCAGTGGAGACAAATTCGTTAATGTTTGCATGGCCAAAAAGGTTCTCTGATGTGATCAGATTGAGACACGTTGAATTGTCTTCTGTGAAAACCCCAATCATTATCCTTTTTATAGGCAGCCGGACAAATTTTTTTTTGGACGGTTTTCATTTTTTTTAACCTAAAATTGATAATTATTATAATTATTTTAGGAGTTTTAATATTTATTATTGTATAAAAAAAATATGTTAGCATGAATTTCAAAGCGATTTTCGATCGCTTAAAAAAGAATGATATAATAAAATTGGACCTGCCGAAAATGACATGACCAAGAAAAATCGATCGGTTGATGCCATTCACGTACATTTCGAACCGACTCAACAATACATGTCCAAGTTCTCTGAGGGCTTATGTTTACCCTGCTGGTAGAAATTCGCGGACAAGAATTGAGATTGATGACCGACCCAATGCATATGATTGGCTAACATCAACAGATCAGATCATCCTTCTCGATCATCTTCAGTAGTTTGGTTGGTTGCCCTTGCCTGAATGATCGACTTACCGATGATCCTCAAGGTTGACCGATTGCACTGATCAACTTGCTTCTTTAGCACTGATTGAATGGGCCAAAGGACAGTAAGACCCTGGGTCCATAGGAATCTAATTCCTAGAATAACTAATATAACCCTCCTTAAGGCAAGATTAAAAAGGTAATTTTCCTTGATTGCTTCCCTCTCCTATAAATAGAGATGTCTTTTAAGATAATAGGACATTTTGGCATATCCCTTCTTTCAATTATCTTCACATTATCACTTAAGAAGAGGCTCGACTCTTCCCCCTCTTCATATACCAAAAATATTTGATTTTATAAAAAAGATCGCATGAGCCTGAGAATACCCTATTGTACCCAGAAGGGCAAGTCGCCGTACACTCTTCTCCTCTCCCTCTCTCTCTTCTTTTTTTCTAGTTCAAATGCTCTAATCCTTTGGGCATTCTTCTCAGACAATTTTGAATTCAACAATTATTTGAAATTAATGAGTTGCTACATTGTGCTATTAATATGAGAAATATACATGTTAACATTTTGTGAAAATCTAATACATATACGGATAATGAAATGATATCAAAATATTTATATGTAAATCCTACAAGAGAGAAAAACAAGGTCAAACTAGTTGAAATGATTTTATATATTAGTAAGATTATAGAAATTAATGTTTTATTCAATTACAGAAGACACAACCATAAAGTTAGAAACACTAACTTGATCTTATGTAATGTAGTTATAATTACATAAAAAAATAATTAAAGATGATGAAATTTGGAAAATAGATATTAGTTGGATAATAAAGTTAAGTGTTGGTTTCATGAAAAAGGGATAATAATAGGATAGAAAATTTTAAAGTGGAAAAGTTCAATAGTACAAACTTCGTATTCTGGAGGATGCAAGTGAATGATTTGTTACATAAAAATAAATAAATAAAAATTATATTCTCCACTACAAGGTATCACTAAGAAGCCCGAGTTTATGACTATGGAGGAATGGGAGGCGTTGGATCGAAAAAACCTATGTTTAATTTATTTATCACTTTCCTCGTATATTGACTTAAATATAGTGAATGAGAAAATCGTGGTGGATCTCATTATGGCACTGACAAAGGTGTATGAAAAACTTTCTGCTTCAAATATTGTTTTTGTAATGAACAAGCTATTCAACATTAAGATAGTTGAAAATAATGTAGTGGAAGAACGTCTGAAGGATTTCAACACTGTAACAAGCCAATTGTGTTCTTTGGGGATCAAATTTTCATAATAAGCCCAGGACACACTTGGTAGTGTCTTCATTGTCAGATAATTGGCATGCTTTGGTCACAATAACGACTAACTCTTCTGGGAACATAAAGCTGAACTTTGAAGAGTTCATATGGATGGCGCTGAATGAAGAAGTTTGCAGAAAGTAAACAAATGGTGAATATTCTGGTTCTGTGTTGAATGTGAAAAATAGAGAAAGGAATCTGACAGGAGTTCAAGCAGAGGCAAATTCAAGTTGAGGAAAAGAAATTTTTAAGTCCAGTAGAGGAAATGACAAAGAAAAATTCTGGAATTACGAAAAAAGAAATACTATTTCAAGAAGAATGGTAAAACTTACAGAAAATCTAGTGATAGAGTATAGGAAAGAAATCTCTCTATAAATACCGCCATAGTTAAAATCTAGGGAAACTTCTTGGTGTTAGCCCTCGTCAGCACTGAATCTTCGATAGTAGATTCAAATTTCTCTTTTCACGCATGCCCCAATAAAGAGGTATTCACAAATATAGTCATAGTGATCTATGGAAGATTTATCTTGGAGACAACATGGCTTGCAATATTATAGAAAAAAAGTGATGTAGAAATTAAATTGTCAAATGAAACAGTTTGAAAGCTTATTGAAGTTAAACTTGTTCTAAGTCTGAAGAGAAATCTCATATTTGTGAGTTAACTGACAAAGCTAAGGTTCATGATTACTTTCACAAGTGATTCGTGGAAGGTGACCAAAAAGGCAATGTTGATGGCTCGGAGCAACATTTAAGACACTTTTTACCTGATCAATGAAATGATAGATTTTTATTGATGTGGCTAGAACCAAAGTCGATGTAGGTCAGTGGCACCACAGACTTGGCCATATGAACAATAAACGTATCAAAACCCTATTTCTTGGCCATATAGACAAGAAATGTAACTTGGCTTTTATAAGCGCAAAATAAGTTTATATCATTCATAATTTCTTAAATTTATTTTAAAATTTAAAGTTAATATTTTCATTACATTTCATATTACGTGGAATGTAAAATCTACCTTTTTTCTTTTTTTTTTCTTTTTGTTGACTTCATTACATTCCTACGGAGAGTAATGAATCGTTCTTCATGATAGAAGTTCTAAAGATCACTTAGAATTAATAGTTTATATTGTGGGGCTCTATCCTTCCTCTAAAAATTAGGGAGATTAATTATCTCCAAATAATGTAATTAAAATTAAGTTAATCGCTCTTCTTAATATTTGTAGTAAGGGTTTAAACATGATAAGTTTTATAAATTTGTGCTAATGATGGTATAGTGTACATTAACAGCAGTGTGTGGAGCAATAGTGGGGAAATTGGGAGCTCGCGTCCCATAGCCTCTTAAAGATAGCCTCACGGCCCGCAGCCCACGACCCACAGCCCACGGAAGAGATGAAAATGGGGAAGATATTATTTTCCTAAAAGAAGAAGATATATTTTAGTTATATGGTTTTTGTTTATTTTAATTAAATTAATTTTAACTTTGTTTATAGTAATATACAAAATAATAAGATTTTAGGTATATTTTATGATTATTAAAATCAAGATAATGATTAAAAAAAGAATCCTCAAATATTTATCTTTTTTAGTAAATAAATAAAATTTTCTTTGAAAACAAAGTGATAATTTAAAATAAGATTATGAATATTAAATATGACAAGATTGTTAATAATAATATCAATAATGAATATGAGAATAATCCAAATTGATGAGAACTTGCCCTAACAAGAGACTAAACTCTTTAAAGGTCTATGAGATGTACTTGAAAGCTTCAAGTCCTGCCAAAAAATCTAAAATGTCATTGTTGAATATTTAAGTTAATACGAAAAATATGTCCCATGATAATAACCTTGTTCACATTGTTAATGAGAGCATCACCATATACTATTCTCTTTGGGTTTTCATGATTAAGTCTCATGGAATAAGTGTTGGGGGGGAGGGGGGGGGGGGAGACAGAGAGCGGCGGGGGCACCGTGAGGTGAGAGATGAATCATATCCCATTCAACGAACCTTAAAAAATACATTAATTTTTTTATCTATAGTAAACAAGAGGAAGATAGTTCCTTAGAGGTTACCTGAGTTGCTGGATTCTATTGAGGGAGAGGGAGAAAGCCTAAGCCAAAGATCTCGAGCCTTTTCAAAGGAGTGAAAGGAGTCCCCCTTTTCTATCCTATGATCCCCTTTTTATACATCTGAAAGAAATACTATGAATTAATCTAAATAGTACATTCTATATTGTGACATTCCCTCTCTTTGATATCTTGACATATAGTCAACAATGTATAGGTCAGACATTGCCGACCAATGTCAGGTATTATCGGTGTGGTTGGCTTCTCTGGTATATTGCCAAAAGGACTAATTCTCTAGTGTCGAGCGACATCTTTAATGAAGATTGACGAATGACTTGGTTAGTCATGATGCCTTTTGGAATCATCACCCTTGTATATGTAGGCTAAGTTATCCTTGTGATGAAGAAAAATATATTGGGATCGGTCATTTCTCCAAGTGGGCTCGATCCAACTACTTCGGCAAGTGGGCTCGATCCAGCTACTTCGTTAGTCAGGCTTGACTCAGTTACGTAGGGTGGTAGACTTGATTTTTTAAGGAGTTTTGAGTGGAAATTCTCATATACTAATTTTTTGTGTATACAATTGCTTATCTTCCGAGTCCTATAACTCTAAGATCTAAAATAATAATAATAATAATAAGTTATACCTTCCAATATTTAATTTTTTTAGTTTTTAAAATTAACAGAAAAAAAAATGGTTAGTAAGTATTTTTTATATAATAAGAACTTGTTTATCATCCTAATTATTAAAATATTTATATAAAAAAGATATTTTTAGCTATGTTTCTCTCTAAATACATTTAAAAATGGCTTAGGAAATAGGAATATTAAGTTATTATTATAACG